AACTGCGTTGAATACACTATATCACAACATTCGTATTATTGACTTAGTTTATTATAAAATGTTATATTCAAAAACAGAAGACAGGTATGAATACAACCTTGTTTGACTGTTGTGAAGCTACGGAAATCATACGCTCAGTGTAGCTTTGAACATAAGCTTGTATGACAAAACTGCAACATTTTGTACAACAAATAATCAATCTAAACAACTTCTTTTATTAACTTATCAAATTTCTGTAATTTCGGTTTATTGTTATGCACAAAATAGTTTGTTCAAAAACAAGGCTTTCTGTAAATTCAAGTAGTATCGAACAAATAGGCTATATAAATATCAGTTAAAACAGTTTATCTGTCTGTAGAAGTTCATGCTCGTTTGGACCGTAGTTGCCTTTAATTAACATGATAAGTAGGATAAATACGTCGAGTTTGAATGTCCTATATATACATAAGTTCACATGAAAAATCAGTCCCTTTCAGGGGTATGTAATTTATAACTTATAGTCAAACTTTACTGTATTAACTTTAGTTAGTATAATGCATACATTATATATCTAGATAATGAATAATTTATGTATCATTTTATATCAAAAATCAGTCCCTTTCAGGGGTATGTAATTTGTAATTTATAGTCAAACTTTACTGTATTAACTTTAGTTAGTGTGATGCATACATTATATATCTAGATAATGAATAATTTATGTATCATTTTATATCAAAAATCAGTCCCTTTCAGGGGTATGTAATTTGTAATTTATAGTCAAACTTTACTGTATTAACTTTAGTTAGTGTGATGCATACATCATATATCTAGATAGTTGATAATGTATGTATCATTTTATATTGAAAATCAGTTCTTTTCAGGGCTAGGAAGATTGCAAGTTGAGCTAGTGTGTTGATAATCATATGAAGTACGCTATACAAAGCGGTGACCAAATCGATGAAATATAAATTATTAATTTAACGCAATAAAATGATTTGTTTATTATTGGATAAATGAATACTGAAAACGAAATCATAATTCAGAAGAGTTGATCACAATATAGTAACAAGATCTTCGAACACAATCTAATCCACGTCATTTCTTATTTTGAAATATTTAAGCGTATGCTACATGCAACAATTTTAGTTTAAGTGTTATCATAACTAATTCATATATATAATAAGACATCGCTATGTCGAGTTTCTTGCGGTGACATCATCATGACGTTTGTTATAGCGTTATCGGCCGTGGATCAGGATCATTGAAAGCTATTTCATTAATCATGCACACAACGGCATAATGACAGTTTGAGTACTTGGTAAGCCTTCATATCTTTTGCTAAAGAACACCTATTAGTAATGGTAGGGAAAAAAAGCAAATACTTTTCCTAGGCAGCGTAATGTGTACATTTTACAGCGAATTGTTCGTGTTCAGTCATGAATGAATTCTTGACATCAGTCATAAAAAAATGACTTTCAACTTAATATCGCAGAAAGTTTTATTACAGTTTGTACCATTACCATGAATTTTTAGAATATTTACCGATTCAGTTGTGGTTGCTTACTGTTCTAATTTTACGCAGTTTCCGAGTAAATGTGAAAAATTGTATATTTTAAAAACATACTTTTGTGTACTAGTGACAGCTTATATCTGATATGGTTGTTTTTGTCTTGTTTCTCTATAGCCGGCCAAGGAGGAACAGAAACTGTAGGAATATTTTCTTATATTATCCTAAAGTTCAATGTTTTAAATACGAATTATGTTAAAAATTTTCTCGTTTCTTCTATGATTAAACATGGAGAACTTTTATTGTTTTAGGGCAAGATTTAGCATGAAAATTAAACCATTTTGTCTTATGACACTGTTTAGCATGAGAAACACTTTAGATCTTAAGGTATGATTGTGCAAGAAAATTAGTTTTTATCTTAAGGACTTGAGTTAATATGAAAAGTAGTTTTTTTTATCTTTAAGGCATGATTTAGTAATGAAAAGTAGTTTTA